TAAACAAATTTTTAAAGAACAGCATAAACATCTTCCAAGCATTTAGTATTCATTGGGAGTACAAACTGCTTATGTAAGTAAAGATTTACAGGACTAAGTCACTAATTAGGGTAGTAGAAAATACTTCTTATGTACTACTGATTAAACAAGATATGCCTATAATTACTCCACTTCTAGTTTCCAAAATGTACCAAGACCATTTTTTCTTGGCTAGATTCCTGTTGCTGTTTTTCAGGGGCACGTTTGATTTCTAATTAGGCTGCTGAGCTTCTTTTTAGTGTATTTTTCTATTTTGTGTTTTTATCTCACTTTCTCTGTTAGTACTTTTCCTTCCCTTCCCTGTTGCCATACAACACTTCACACAGGTAGCTGGGGAAGCTGTCAGGCCAAGGGGATCTGTAGGCACATGCAGGTAACTTGAGAGTCTTCATCTTTTAGGGAAAGGCACTTTCCCACCTGCAAGTCACTGCCTTGCACTGAGTTTGTCACTGTGAACATTTCAGTTCGATTTCATTTGAATTTGTGTATTTGTTGTTCTTACCAAGTCACTAAAGGGTAACAAAGCTACTGGACAAGAAGTGTTGGGCGACAATTCTGGGTTGCCGCCGCCTCACTCAAGTACTAGCAGAAAGTAGATCTCTGAGCAAGACAGGAGAGGTTTTATTTTCTTGCACAGAGGAGTGACTCCAAGGACTGTGGTGCAATGAGTCAGTCGAATTGTAATTGCTTTAAGAAGCAGAGAAACTTAGAGAGGGGGGTGAAACAGTGCGCTGAGAGGTGATACAGGAGAGATGGTGGAAATGCCACTATGGCCTCCTATCCGCACTTAAAATTCTCCTCCGGCATAAGGAAGAGACGTAAGGGAGGGACAGAGGGATGTGTGAGACAGTGCTTTTGTGAGCCCAGCAGCTCTGCACTTTCATCCCCAAAGAGATAGGCTGGCATAAATGCGTCCCAGGCTCTGGAATCTGGCAAACTATTTACGGCTCGGTTAGTTTGTGTTGTTTTGGGAGGGTGACAGAGAACAAAAAGCAGAGGAGCAAAGTGCGAAAGGGACATTTGTCCACTCACTGTATTATCGAATGGAGAGAAGTAATAGATTACTGGACAGGATAATGTCATCCCACACACCAGCCTGCAGTCGTGGGTTATGTTTTCCCAAATGCTCATTCCTTTCCTTTCAGTGTAATAAGAATGTAATAAACATTGTTATTTGAGGGAGAGCAAGGGCGTGGGCTCCCGGGGCGTTCATTCAAGCCAGCTCTTAACTTCGCCCTGGTTGCAAAATGGACTCTGGAGCTCCAGTGGCCGGTGGTGCCGGAGGCCCTGGCACATGTTGGAGGTGCCAGTGCTGCTGCTGCAGCGGCTGCAGCTGAACTGGCACCAAATACTCTGAATGGAAAAAACAAACTCATAAATGTCCTCTAATTTAAATCAGTTGATCATCTGTGGGGTTGTATTAATAGGGAATGCAAATATGATTTTAATACAACTTTATTATGTTTAAAGGAAGGAAATGGTTGTTAAGTTCTATATGTATCATTTTAGAAGTACTTTTGGTTCATGATTTGAAATGTTTTTTCACCCAATTAATGTGTTCCTCACACTGGGATGATGATTATTTCAGCCTCAGAATATTTCCAGGTGCACTGTCTCTAAGGTTAAGTATTGCAGACCTTCTCCTCAAGATCTTTTTCAAAAAGGCACATACTTTATTCAGCTCATTTCAGTACTGACCCGACAGTTCCGCCTGTTTGTACCTTTCAGTGCATTTCTTAACAGAAATGTAATGCGACTGTAATGAGGAGCTATAATTAGTATTAATGAGGCTTCCTGGAAGGAGCAGTCATCGCAACATTTTACCGTCCCTAAAAATAATAATGTTCCAGCGCCTCTGGCTGCCTCCGATCCCGGGGCGGGGTCGGTGTCCCCTCGATCCCAGTGCGGGATCAGTGCTCCCCCCGATCCCAGTGCGGGGTCGTTGTCCCCTCGATCCCAATGCGGGATCAGTGCTCTCCCCGATCCCGGGCGGGGCTCTCCCCGTGCTCTCCCCGATGCCAGTGGGGATCAGTGCTCCCAGCGGGGTCGGTGCGATCGGGATCGGTGCTCTCCCCGATCCCAGTGCGGGGTCGGTGCTCCCCCGATCCCGGGGCGGGGCCCCTCAGGGCGCAGAGACAGCGGGGGCTCCGTGGCGGCCCCCCCGCCCGCCAGGGGCGCCGTGGCGCAGCGGCCGCGGCTGTCGCGGCCCGCGTCCGGCCGCGCCGTGCCGGTGCCGGGGACGTCGGGCACCGGGAACACCTTCAGCCCCGTTTCGTGCCCGACATGGGCAGCAGCTCCATGGGGAACGCCCGGTGCGGATGTGACATGACACACCGGGCGGGCGCTTCGGGCGGTGCGCGTCGGGAATGACGCCAGTGACACCAGCGCAGTGCCAGCGGGTCGCGCTGGGGGCAGACACCTTGCAGGTTCTGAAAATGTTGAATTATTTGGCAAGAAAACACTGTTTTTTCTGGGTTTTTTTAGTATTTATTTTGTCAAAAATCCATCTGAAAGTGTTGCTACTTCAGATGTAGCAAATTAGATTAAAAATGTATTTTAAATCCTCTATTAATTTCTCTTACGCTGTTGCCGGTTTACTGAAGTTTTGATGGGCAATTTAAGTAAGGCCGCTATAGAAAATGGGCGGTTATTGCTGAACACGTAATTAGTCTGTATCCTTGGAATTCTATAAAACTGTGCTGCACTAAATAACAGCTGTTAATGCCTGTGGAGTATCTTTAGTATGCACGATTCATAGTACTTTGCAAATCATTAAAACATTACATTGTTTCACAAACAATGCCATGTACGTCACAGAGGAGCCAAGACACACACTGGGAGCAGACTGCAGGGAAGACGGAAATAATGAGCTTGTCCTTTGACCCTATTTTGATGACTCTTTGACCCAAAAAGTGGGTAGTGCTTGATAGGCGGGTAAGGCTGAAAATCAGGGCCTCTGAGGAGGTTACAAATTGCACGCAGGAAACCTTAGAACCTCTGGTATTCACATCAGGCTCAGAAAACTATCCATGGTTTCGATATTTATTGAAATACACCTGACATCTGTTAGAAAGGAGGGATCCTTGCTGTCAGCTCTGCTATTCTGAGAGTACAGAATGCAGTACAGCAAGCATATGCAAAGTCTGACCTTTGTGTCAAAGTTAAATGACCTTGGTCTTGTTCCCTGCAGTTCTGGAGAAGTGGCGAAGCTTCTGGGTTTCACCATTGACCTTATCCCCACCTTTTGAGAAAAAATTTTGTGGACTAACTAGGAAGACTACTAAATGATGAGGTCTTCATTTTCCATAGTTACAGCAGCTTTACCAAACCACATCTAATCTTACTCTGTCAATAGCCAACTGCAAGCCCTCGTTAACTTTTGCAGAGTTACCATCAAGGCCCTTGACCTGATTCTGCCAGAGAGCTCCAGGCAGTTTTAGATATCTGTTCTCACAATATCATTTGTCAGACTGAGGTTTTGGCTTACAGAAGGTCAGAAAGAAGAACAGTTATGAACTCATTGCCAAATCATCATTTCAGTGGGAGAGCACAGCGAAAGAAAACTGCTACTACCTCTTTCAAATGTTACATTATTTTAACTAATTTCACCCTCAGTGTTATTTGCCATTTATTAATGTTCATTTACAAACAGAAGGAAAAAACCTCCTACATGTTGATACAAATGGGGTTTGAAATACTTTAGTTATAGTAAATAATTAAATAAATTGGAGAGAAGCCTGGATTATGTAAATCTGTACACTATGAAAATTGCCAATAGATATATAGAAAGTCTCATGAAAGACACAAGTTTTATTATTGCCCACAACTCAGGACCAAGTCCATACCAAGGGAACACATATGACACTGATCCTGCAATTGCACATCTGGGGCCAAAACCATACAGAGAATTTTTCTGGATTTTTTTCATGTATTTACAGATTTGCATTTAAACTTGCTGCCTACTTTAAGTCTCTTGTTTAGAGAGGTGTGATGGGTTACTAGTTTTTAAATATTTTAGAAGTCTTATGTTCATCTGCTTTGTTCCTTCTGAACTTCTGGCCTCTTTAAGATGTTTCGATTTGACACCTAAAAATTGAGATGCTGATGACTTCTGATGCTTTGATAGCAGTGCAGTGTGTTGTATTGTTAAATGTATTTTGATTTATGTCTTTCTTAGTGCAGTTAATATTTTTGCCTACAGTTAGCTGGAGTGGCCTGCAGCTGCTCCCCTGAAATCTGTGGGAGTCTTTTAGCTCTGACGCCAGTGAGCCGGGCTGTGCTCTAACCTAGAGACCATGCAGCTGGCTTTTAACATACTTAGCTGGGGTTGAAATCATTGTATTAGTCAGAACAATGAGGAGGCAGAAGCAAAGCTAAAATTGAGGCTTTAAGGATCTGACTCATTCGGTTTCTGGCACAAGGAGGTGCAAATTGCAGTTCCTGATTTTGCTGCGCACCTACCAAACCCCAATTACAGCCCAGCCCAAATGCACTGGGCTCTGAAAAGACCCACTCACTGTGTCAGCACATCCCCATGTAACCTGCATGTTGTTGCTCTCGTTGCTAATGTACCATTTGGAAGCTGATGTTTGTAGGGTGTTAGCTGGAAGATGGCTGGGTGTTGCTGCAATTCTCCATGCCAGTTTTGCAGTCTTTGCCACCCCGAGAGCCCAGCTTGTAGTGCTGGTACCCTGAGAGTCTTCAGCTGGACAATAACCTGACAGATCCAGAGCCTCCATCCTCTCTGCTGGCAATAAGCAGCATATTGCCTAGTGGGTTTTTTTCTCAGAGATAGCAATAATATGGCTTCTCAGACATGTTCTATTTGTTCCATCAACCACAGTATGTTATTACCCCAATTCCAGACAATTATATACAAAAAAAAAAAAAAAAGCCCAAAGCTGGCAAACCCACTGTTGTCTTGCTGAAAGCTTGTTGCAGCCCCTTTCAAGTCACAAGACCTGTCTGGGAAGTATCAACAAAATGCAGTGCATTGTAGTCATATGGGTCAGATTCAGCAGGTCCTGTGCATGGAGGCAGCCCCACAGTGCACTCAGCATGAAGAACCAGCCAAAGGAAATTCTGCCTGCAGATCTGTGCTGGTTACAGCAAAGGAGGAACTTTCGAGGGCAAGTCAGAGAAGATGGCAGACACGTTGTGCCCAGTGCTCTCGTCATTCCTGGTGCACACATCCCTGCTTGCTGCTGTTTGCTACATGACATACCAGCCTGCAGCTGGTAGTGAACCTGAACACAGCAAGGCATGCTGCAGCTAATTATTTAGGACTTTCATAAACATCTGCTTTGGGGAAAAGACTATTGTCATTTTAAGGCTTGGGACCAAAATTTTGATGAAAATATGGAGGTTTTGTGGTTGTGTCACCCACATTTTCCAAGCCACTTATGTTTTTCTTCCACAGTTAAAATGCACTAAGTACATTTGAGATTCTCAAAAGATATGAAGAGAGACCCAGGAAGGATTTTTCATTAAAGGTGAGTTAGTTTTTCAGTTGAATTGTTATTTATATGTATTTATTTCTACAGCATTTAGGAGATGCTCTCTTGAACCTCCCTGGACAAATGGAAGGCCATAGGACTCCATAAAAACAGCAGTGATTCAATCTCAGCTGCAGAATTGAGAAATAAGCAGTGAGAATGATGTAGAGCTCAATCACAGCTTTCATCTTGCTTGGCTATACTTACCTTACTGAGTATAGACCTTGTAAGAATCAGTTAATCTATCTCCCATGGGCTATTCTATTTCCTGTTCCTTCTCATATTACTTTTAATATTCCATTATTAAGGAGGATTTATTTCTAAAATATTTTTAGACATTTCTTAGAAAATTTTGAAACAGCTTTGAAGTCTTGTCTTTGAGCTGTTTAAGTTGGCTGAAGGGACAGGTGAGGTGAACTACATGCAATTAAATAGTTTATATAATTCATGGCATAAGAAACATATCAAAAGCTCTTTTTTTTTTCCTATTCTACCTGGGTGGAAGAAAGATTTTTGTAAGGTTTTCAGAGAGGAATGCTAGAAAACATATTGGGAACCCAAGGAATATTGACAGAGGGATCAAATGTCCTCCCCAAATAACAACAAAAAAAAAAGACAATGATGGTATATGTTCCCTTTGCTGTGAATCAGAGCAGCTAAATTGTATACAATATGTCTTAGGCTATTAACAGGTATTCTCCTTAACACAACTAATTAATTAGGAGACTTGCATTATAAGTAAGAGGATCTGAGTTTTGTTACTTTGTTTCTCTAAAATTTTAGGCCACATTAAATCTATGATAGCTGTGAGGTTATTGTATTTATTAAATATTTGTATCTCTTATTATTACTTTTTGAGTCTGTGGTGGCATAAAAAAATTGTAAATGCCTCCACAAGGACTCACATTCTAAATAAGTAATGACATCCTAGACATTTTGGTTTTAAAGTGACTTCTTTATTTTAGCTTCTCTTTAATTTCTCTTGCTTCTTTTGCTTCTTCTTTTACAAGGAGCAGTATTTTAACAACACGGAGAAGGAAACAGATGCATGAACTACTCCAGTTTCAACAGAGAAAAAATACAAGGTGGGTTAACTTTTTTTGAATATACAGTCAAGTTACTATCCTTTAATTATCAGGTGTTGGTAGGCATTAGTGTACTGTTGAAATGGCTGTCTTTCTTTTAAATTCATGTTTTCCAACTAGAAGTCTGGTTATTCCCCACATAAAATTCCTATCAATAAAGAGATGATTTTAAGACTACAGTTTATGTTACACTCAAAGAATGAAACTATACCCAGTAGGCTAAACATCAAAAGAATGGGAATACCACAGATTATTTATCTCAGTAGTAAAAACAACTATTTCTGAGAAATATGCTTTTATACTTAAACTCTGCAAGATATATTTGAAGATTACTCTTAATAAGAGACTTCAGGCAGTCTGCTCCTTAAGATTTGAGTCATATATGTCTTTATTGCCTCAGTAAGTTCAAACTTATAAAATTTTCCTACTTCTGAATTATATTTAGTTCATCATTCTCATGATTTAAGTTCACCATATTCCTATACTCCATTTGTATTGTGAACCTTCTTCAAATGATATTTCTTAAATTTTGGAATAGATCATTGGTACAAAACCAAAACACTTTTGAATGTGTCCCATCTAAACATTTTATCTATAGCTAACAACATTCTTTCTCATGAATCTGAATAAAACTGCAACACAAACTGGAAAGCATTCAGCATCAATTCCTACACTTCCATCTTAAGCCAGTCCTGTCCCATTGAAACCAGCAGTACCCTTTGGCTTCAGTGGAAGAGAGTCCATTATTTTAGCTAGAATTATACATCATTTTCTGGCATCATGTACTTTGGTCTCTGGTAGTTTTTTGCATCTAGGCACAGTAAAGAAATCAGATGGTATCCTTCTAGGCAGCTCGGTTTCCTTTGTTGTGACATAGGAGAAGGATCATAGTGGTCCCAGGCAAGAGGAAACAAAAAAACCCCTAGGTATCAGGAGTTTAGATCATAACTAACAGAACATTTGGGGTACATATATAATAGTTCTGGGAGGAAATATGTCATCAAGATTTAAGTAAATAAGGCACTTTTGCACTGTAGAGAGATGATTGTCTTTAAACAATGTAGTAGTTGTATTAGTCCTGTCTTGCCACAAGATGTTGTTCCTACTGGTGTGTTGGTACTGTAGCTCATACATGGCAGAACAGTCAACAGGCATATTGCAAATGTGCAATATGATTAGATGCAGCCAGCTTTGTGACATTACAGACAGTTTTGAAGTTCCTTATCTGAACATCAGTCTGGCCTGTTATCAAGTGATGCCTTCCTGGATCTTACATTGTAATCCACATTTTTCCTTGTTTGAAGGCTCTCCCGTACCAGGATTACAATTAGAATCAGGCCAGAATCAGAGCTATTTGGTGCTATTTGGGATGAACTTCAGTTTCCTAAATAGAGGCTTCAGTGTCTTTAAAAAAACCCCACCCTGAGTTGCCCGAGACATCCATATGGGGCCTGTCGGATACGATGGGGCTGTCAGAATAAGGAGATGCTTATTTCTGGAGCACAAAGTGGTTGAAATGTGTGACACTCCATAGCTGCCTCTTTTTAGGTAGGTGAAATCCCCTGGGTACTGCCAGCAGACAGCACAGAGTCACTGCTGGCACAACTGCCCCCACTGTGGAAAGGGGAGCTCCTTGTCATGTCACACAGCAGCATTCCTGCCTGCAGGAAGAACCACCTCAGGCTCCTGAGATACAGACACTTCACCAGACAGGCTAAGCAGCAAGAGCATAAGGGGTCCTGAATGTCAGACTGGACTGCCCCTCTGGAGAGGGTGGAGTTTGCTTCTGCTGGGTGTGTATTCCTTTTGGTTTGCATTACCAGACCACTTCAGACACTAAATATAAAAGTATTATAAATCCTTTTGTTTCCGCAGTGACTAAACATCACTTTCAGATTATTAAATATTTCCAAATATGCTTAGTCAAAATTAGTATGGAGTCTTGAAAGTCAATGAATGTAGCAATTATAGAAGAAAGGATAAGACAGGGTAGAGTGGTAATCTAATTTTAATTTCCTTTAAATCTTTACTAATTTATTTATCAGTGTAATGCCCATTGGTAGTGCCTGAAATGATACAACTAACATATATAATGGGTTTATTATTTTGCATAAGTCCCAAAATGAAAGAGTTTTACTTTTGTAGATAGTCTAATTAAAAAGTCCAAATGAAATCTGTGGTGCTTTTAAACAGAAGCTTTAACTTCATGTATAAACATTGCTGATGCACAAACAGGTTTCATTTCTTATCAAATTCAGTGTTAACATTCTTTAAGCTTTTGTAATATTGGAAAATCTGCAAGATGAAGATTTCTGTGTGTTGTGGGTAAAGACTTGTGCAAACAGGCCCCATGCCTGCAGACTAAGGTAAATCAGCATACAGATCTAAACTGTAGAGAAGACCCTTTAACCACTGTTTTCTTTTGCCCATACATAGGAAATGACCAACTGACAGATGAATGACTAAGCAAAGCATTCCTTATTTATGCACATATGAAGTTGACTTTCTAGGGCTCCTGACAACCACAGGGGTCAGTAGTTTAATTCTACCATGTGTATTCTGAGTAATCTAACAAAAACAATAGCAGTTTTCTGCTTATTTAGTGCATACCTTCAATGAGTTCATCATTCTACACAACAAATGGAAGGTTGAGTGCCTGCTGCATATATATACATTTATACATATATATATGGATGAAGGAACTAAATGCACCATTTGCTAAACAGATTAGACCAGGAGGCTGATTTGTGACAATGCAGTGCCTTTTAAAAATAGCTCCAGCCACCAGTATTGACAGTGCTGAACTGAAGCTGTGTGACTGCACAGAGCTCCAGTAAAAACAGAAGCTGGGCTGTGTGGAGTAGTTTGAAGCTCTGGAGCTGTAACTGAAGTGATGCCTTAGTTTTTTTAGCAGGGTGACAGGAAGTGGTGAGTCAGCCCCCTGGGAGGGAAGCTGTAGTCACTGGCCACTGCCTTCCCTTTTGCTTAAATAAAAGAACAACGTCAATGTTTCTCTTCTTTGTGAAAAGCTAGTACATATGCAATGTCTCACCTGATACAATCATCAAAATAAACTTCCCATGCTCTGTGTCCCCAGGCTTTTTGCAGCATGTGTCATTGTTTTAAATGCTTATCTCTTCTCCAAGTGCCCAAAGGCCACGTGTATCTATGGAGACTGTGTGTCACTTTGGTGAGTTTGCAGAGTCAGGAAGGAGATGCTGACTCTGCCCCATATGTGTCTGTCTGTGTTCAGAAGTATTCTTGGAGAAGATAACTGCAGGTGAATTATGTAAAATCTTGCCATGCAGCTTTGTCAAGTCAGAAACTCTATGCAGGGCCTGTGTTATGGCTTATTGTTTGCTAACAACCAAGCACAGGCTGGTCTTACTTGTAATAGGAATGAGGCCATTGTGCTCCTGATGCTGCAAAGTCAGAGCAGGAGCTCTCTAGACTCATTCTGAGTACAGAAAGCCAAAAAGCACACACATTTACTATGGCACCAGGTGCTTTGGAAAAAATCCCAAAGGATGCACCCCGAATCACATGGGTTTCATAAATTTATACAGCTTTCTAACTACAGATTCAAAGATTACCTCATCTGTCCCACCCCATTCTCCCCCACAGTAGGCCCCCCTCAAATCGCTTGTGTTTCTCTTGACTCCTTGGTTCTGGCGTGGTTTCCTGCCTTCTGGACCTGGTTCAAGGCCTAAACCCAGTCTTGTCGGGGCTGTTTCATCTTCTTTCTCACTTTTATCAGCCTCTCCACAGGTGCAACCATCCGTCTCTGTTTTATCGAAATTCTTGCCTGTAATGAATCTTTACAAGAAATTATAAACTTGCCCTTGAGAACTTCCAACCTTACTAAAATACATGAGTTCTGTGGCTAACACTCTCCTTTTAAAATGCTTAGTCTGCAATACATTAATTCTGTGGCTAACAATTTCTAATAGAGTGCTTAATTTTACGGCTGCACTTTCAGAAGCAGCCTGGAAACCTGCTTGTCAGTAGTGAGCCTATGGCTGACAGCTGAGTGACAGTAGCCATGGGCAAAGTGAAAGCTCCCCTCAAAGTTGTTGTGTGACTTCCAAAAACAGGACTTATGCTCTGAAACTACCCAACTGCTTTGGAAGTGCTTAAACTGTGGTATCTGTGTACATATGTACTTTCTTAACTGATGGTCACACAGACAAAGCTGAGACTCCTTAGTTCATTTGCAGAATTTTTGTTGCCTCTGAAATACCTGGCTTTGAGTGCTTGTCTTGGTTCTCAATTTCAATTATTAAATTCAGTCTTCTCAGTAATGTATACTTTGGTTAAATGCAGGAGCATCTATTAAAGATGTCTGAATATCATGTACAGAATAAATTGCAAGTTACCTCAAGGAAACCCAGAATTTAAGACTGCATTTAAAAGATTCTGCATTTAGATACAGTTAAGAGAATATTAGAGGTTGGGGAGACACTGAAATAGCAGAAATACAAGGCTCTGAGACAGCTAAACTTCTGTGGAGAACTGATGCTTACAACAGAATAGTTTCAAAGACTCTGCACATAACATTTATACTTACGTATTTTTTATATGTGGGGTTTTTTTAAAGTTGCTAGTGACAATTGGCAAAGTAAATTTATGTTTAAATGAAAATCATATCCTGCTGACTAAAATTTTATCTTAAATACTGCTCAGAACTGACATCTGTTTATATATTTGACATTCAGAGCAGATTATGTCATACTAAGTGCCAGATACATACTATCAGCAAAGCTATTTGCCTATTACTATTAGAAGGCATAAAGAAAGACCTCAAGATATATTTAAAACAGAACCTCATAGCCAACCTTGCCTGGAGCTACTTTTGTCAGAGCAGCTGGAATTGTCTTAATTGTAGTTCTTATAATCATCACTGTAATTAACTACTGCCTCTTCTGCAGAGAAGAAAAACACGATGGCCATTTAAATAAGTCAAATAAAAAGGTCAGAAAAACTATTATTATTCATGGACT